AATATAGATCTACGTCGCGCGACTCCAAACGTTATCTAGAACACATGTATAACATATATGGTAAATTGATAAAATATAGTTATATCTGTAACTTGTAACCACCAATCCTAATTAAAACAAAGAAATTATTTTCCATTTTTCAAGTTATTTATAAAGTGGTAATCATTTAATTCAAGTGGCACTAATTTCAATAGCAATTACACAATTACACCTATGTGTAATTTTTGAAAGGGGACATTACTTTATTTTTTTAGATCTAAATGATAACTGTATGTTATAGAACTACAACTGATTCAAGTTTCTGAGGCATAAACTTCATTGTAATATTAAGAGATTAGGTCATATGTGCAAATAGACAAAACTGAAACTGGTTTTGTGATGTATTTTCGGCATATTAATTTCTCAAGAGCATTCACCCTTTTATTAAAATTCGTTTTTCTATAAATTCAAGTGATCTAGTTCTGACAACGAAATACCGTGAAATCGAAAATAAAATGGATTAGCGTTACCTGTCAAGCGTTGGATGGTACTACTGCCCTCAATTTGACGTGAATCAATGTCAACATAATCTTTAATTAATCACTTTTTGTGATGACACTGCGTCAGAATTTTGGAAAAAATATTTATTAGAGCACGAAACATTTTCTCTTGAGCAGCTATTACCGGAACAGCGAAAAGTCGAACAAATGTATACTCTTACCCAGTTTTTCTGTAATAAGTGTTTAAGTTTTGACACAGATAAGTGCCAACCTGTCAGCTGAAAGATGTGATGTGTCAATTGTGCAGTAATGCCACCTGTGCATTATTTGGTCTCACAGCCAACTCTAACTCGTTTTATTTTTGACAGCATACTGTTAATGGGGGAACAGTGAAACTAGGTGGCAACAAAATAATATCAAAGTACAACTGCAAATTTATTTGTATTTTAAACCTACATATATTAAGCTTCTATTTCAATACATTTAAAGGTCAACACAGGTCAGCAGGAAAATGCCTGTAATTTTTCGATACTACGACTAGAAAGAAACATCTCGCTCAATAAAGAAAACAAAAACTAAACTTTGATTTGAATATTTGACCAGGAATAACAATACATTGATCGTATTGGTCGATTTAAAAGCACTGCTGAAAATATTAAAGTAGTAAAGCGACGTTCCAATAATTCTTTTACTCAGTGAAAACTTTTAGAGTTATTCACAGCACTCATGTTTCCAACGCGCGAGGTTTGCTCTTCGTAAGTCATAATTCATATTGAAATGACTGTTTCCAACTGAGTGTGAAGAACTATAAATTCAATATTATGTTTATATATAACATGAAATTAACACTTTTCCTTTGTATATGCTTGAAAAAAAAATGGTATTATGTAGTTAGTTAGATCTGAAACGATCTAGAAATCAACGTTTTAGAATGAAGGCAACATACTACGTACTGAAAAATGCTATATTCTGGCCAGCAACAGATTAGATTGGAATTTTCCACGATAAATAAACAATTGAGACAATTTTACAAAACTTCGTTAAAAATACAAAAACAAAAAACGTCAACATAACCTTGGTCTAATCTCTGGTTTAATGTAGGAAACAAAATTTCATTCATGGTAGATGCTCTTTAAAATGCAAATACATCTGAATCGTTACATCAGCGATAAAGATGTTTAAATCGCATTGAAATATGTGTTAACGAAGGGAAAAATATATTTGAGTAAGGTTTTTGTGACACTTATTATTACATAAATGCCTATGACAGCATATCGCTGGTATCATCTCCAAATCTTCAGAATTTTCCCAGTCATTTGCAAAATGCAGATCTTAATTCCACTATTTCTAATGTCTGTGTATATTTTGTGTGAAAATAATTTGAAAAATTGTTACAAATGGTGTTTTACTTTTTACATCAATTCAACACTATCACCAGTGTATCTTATTTATTAAAAAACATACCGTTTTATGTCGTAGAATATGAAAGTAGAAAATATTCAAGTTTCCAACAATTTCAGTACCGACTTTTCTCAGTATATGGTCTTTTAAATTTTCCCCAAGGTTATAGTTTTATTCAACTCGACGAGTGGGTGCGTGCAGCTGGAGTCTGGGAGGAAAATCAATAATCCGAACATTTTGTGATGCACCGGATTTGTGAAGTAAAAAGCAACACGATTGGTTTCCGCCTCTAATACATAAAACAATGGGATTAAATCAGGAAATTATTAATCTGAACATTCCAATACCGCATTTTTTTAGTGTGGACTTTAAAATTACTAAATTAAAAATGAGGAATAAATCAATGATTAGATATTTAGATATTCGGCAAGTACCTATTTGTATTATCAACCTGTTGATAGTATTCTTTACCAATGTTATGGAAATTTGTAATGACGTTGGTAATCCATTATTCAAGACAATATAAACGAATTCTACCTGTTGGCAGATAATTATCCTATAATTATGGAAGAACTTTTTATGAAGACCTTGTACTCCTTTCAAAAGGATAAAAATAATATCGCATTTAAGATATCGATTTGTAGCCTTTTAATGAATAAACCCACATTTCAGATTTATTTGCAACGAGGACTAATTACGTTTCGTTGCAATCCTTATTAGCAAAAGCGTCACAGATTATGCAATGCCTATTATTTAGAATTGGAATTAAAAAAAAAAAAACACACACAATAAATGAACTGTCTTTCGTTTTGTATAACGTGATTTTTTTGTAACCAAAGTCAAGACGTCAACTTTCAGCCAAGACATGTATCGTGCAGACTGTTTTCTATTTCTAATGCATGTCTAGCTGTGAAGAAATAAAAACATAAAAATACGAGTTTGCTATTTCTTTGCGTGCTGATAATAATTTCGATACATGTGCAAGAGAACCTGTAATTTGCTTTAAATTTTTAGTTCAAAATAATAGCCGATTCTAGCGAATTGAAAGTTTTATCAACACTATTATCGCCAAGTTTGATGAGCCATTGTGCAATAGGAATAAAACTGTTGAAATAATCGAAACTTTTGAATTGTATTTTAAGGATAAAACCTATACTGTCATGCAAATGCGGGTCAGAAGTGCAAATATAAAGTTCCAAAATAAACTACGTGACGTATACTGCCGTACCAAGGTAAAGAGCAAAGACTACAATTATTTTCGAAATTTTTGTGATGTTTAAAAATGGAGTTACTGCTTTTTAGTTTTGCACGCCAGTAAATAAAGGAAAAATAAAAAAATTGCAATGGGAAAATTATTGCAGAATCTGATACTGACTGACAGTTCAAAACTAATGCCATTGCTTGATATTGACTATATGTTTATTAAATACTGAAATAATATTTGTTTAATTCAGTGCTTTGAATCGTACTTATTTGAATGGAAAATACAAAGTGTGGAATTACTGGCAGTTTTTGTCAGATTCTCTAACCTTGAATTTGATAAATTTCATTTTTCATTAGGGATTTTTGTATATACGAATTTGCTTGCCAACTAAATTACTAAATTTACATGGCCTACTTATATATATTGTATGTGTGCTAATAATATTTGTCGAAACAACTAAGACAGCGTAAAACTTCATGTGAAACCAAACATTAAAACAACAGAAAGAATACGAAAATCCACTACATCCAATTCAAAGAAGCTGTTCTGCAGTAATCCGCAACCAACAAAATCGTCCTACAGCTGATCATCCAGGCGCAGGATAGTCAGCTGTTTTTCTTATCCCTCGTTGTGTGTAGCAGACCATAAAAAAAAAGCTGCTTACTCGTCTAGTGCAGCTTAAAAACGACTTTTGTTTCATAAATTACAAAAAAAATGTGGAACACTTTTAATTAACGTTATTTTAGACAAATTTTATTAAAATATCGGTGATAAGATTCTCAAAATTAAACCTTTCAGATTGGATCATTCATCGTTTGTAAGAGCTTGCTTAAAAGGCGTAGAACATGATCTAATTAAAAAGGTAGTTCTCATATAGCATTTTAGACAGTTTTATTAGACAATTGGTCTAAAGGAGCAGATTTCGTAATCAAATGCCAGTGAGGCAAAATGGAGACGAAATGTCGCCTTAAGACTGCCAATATTTAAAATTTCTCGACGAATAACCACCGTTTAATTTGCATTAATGTGAACCAAAGTGACGTTCTTTCATCGATTTTTCCCACACAGAAGACGAGAGATGAACAGATAGTGAAAACAGTTGGTTTTTAATGAGATGTCCTGCGAAGGCATTACAGCAAATTTGTGAGACTAGAATTTAAATTCATAATTCGTGTTTACTGTATTCATTACTGGTAACAAAATAGTCTAAAATTTTTAAAAGCACACTTCTAACCTCGAAAAATAGAATACAATAACACAGTTACCAGAATTGCTGCAACAAACGTTTACCAAACATTTTTGCTCTGTTGCATGGCTTCCGTGTTTGTTAATTTTATTTAGTGCTAAGTTCAACACACTAGACGCATTAGATTTACCGTATTGTAAAAAACCTTTCCATCCTGCAGACATATGGACTGCGTTGCTATTTCAACGCGCTAAGGTCTAATTGTTGTGAAAACGGCGCTGAATTCATCGTTCAACATTCAACTAAAGTCCTAATAGATACCTGCACAAAATAACGATTACAGAGTCAGTTCATCACGATGAGATTGTCATTCAACTGTAAATTCTGCGAACAAAAACCGAAAGACGTATGTACAGCATGTAATTAATTCATACATGTAGTAATTACACTTCTTCTATTCTTTTTTAAGGTCGCAGACCTCATATCTGCTTTTCCATTTTTTAGACAGTTAAAAACTTAAGTAAGTAGGATTTTATCGATTCATCTCAACTACATCCTGAGAATGTTTAACTAAAAGTACAATATATCTTATTATTTACGTTTCTTATTTCTAATTCCATTGTTCCACCTTTAGTTCTTTTTACGAAAAAAGAGGATTATACTGCAAGGTGAATATTTATTTCTTTTCGAGACAGGCCATGCAATATGATAATCTTAACCAGCGAAAGTGGCCATAAACCTAACAAATTGTGTGTATTGTCTAACACGTAGATTATTTAGAAAGCTGTAAAAATAGGCGTCGTAATTTCGATCAGTCAGCCGGAGAACGCACAAAACCAATAACTTATTTTTTATTTACGAAATCGTACACGTACACGTGTGTACACAATAGGAAGAAAGCAGGAAAAAAAGAATGAAGTGTTATGTAAAGTATCGCCATGATCACACACTGTGACTTCAAAAGAAGAAACTTGGTAGATTAAAAAGATTTTGAGACTTCTACGTTACAGTTTCTACTTTTCAGTAATTTAGTTACTGTCACTGATTTTCAAAAAGTATCAAACATTGATTGTTGAAGATTTGCCTACAAATGTGGTCGAAAAGTGATTGCAGACTTACTTCTGACCAAATCGCGTGAATCTATGAGTTTGTCTATAGGCGTTTTGTGAGATGGTATAAGGAAAAAAACAGTGAAACCTATTCCGAGAACGTTTTGATGGTGTATTTTGTCGATTTGGCAAAAACAATGAAATCATCCACACTGTGGTCGCAATATTCCATAGTAAAGGCGAGTTTTAATATAAAAAAATGGCATAGACATAGAAAAATTTTCAAAACTAAGAGCGTTTTTGAAGAAACAAGCGGAAGGTTACAAGTCAAAGAAATCAAGTGTTTTAACAAATGACCAAATAGAAGATTTTTTAAGCCATGCTCCAGATGAAAAATATTTATTTACGAAAGTAAGTTTACAACTTAAATTAATGAAATGATTGCACTTCATAAATTGTCCTTCAGGTCGTTACAATCTTCGGAGGGAGTGGCGCAGACCGTTGTCAAGAATTGGTGGAATTAAGAACAGACAATATTGAAAATATTAAATCCGGTCTACTTGTAACGATTCCTCATACGAAAACTAAAAAGCCAAGATCATTTACCGTTCTGTGGAAAAATATTTTAATATTTACCATAAATACAGGGTTATTCAGCTAAGATGACCAATTTGTGTTTTTAAAATAGGCAACCCATAATACCGATTCCACTTGAGCCTGTATTACAAAAAATGTTCCAAAATTGAATTGTATCAAAGTTAATGATTAAAAGTAAATGTTTCCTTGGTAACGCATTTTTTTTTCCTAATTACAAAAACGTCTACTTTTAGTGTTGAATTTGTCATCAAAAGTGTCATGTTTTAAGACGACTGGAGAAAAATTTTTTTTTCATTATGTTACCAAATGAGTCATTCTAGGTCATTTCTGAATACAAAATCTAAATTTTTGGTTAGGTTTCTTTTGCCAGAACATGAAATGAAATAAAATAAATTTTCGTCTTTGGTAAGAAAAATTTTTGAGACAATTTTATTTGCGATGAAATTACCCTTAGTATTTTGAACGTAATTGTTCCACGTTAATGGCTTTACAATTTTACTTGCTAGATTCAGTCATGGTGGTAATAAAACGGCCTACGAAAGCCTAAAAAACATGTCTTTGTGTTTTATTTAATAATTGATAAAAGTTACTGTTGATATTTATTTATAATCAAAATAATAAATATCTAGCAAAAATGAATTAAAAGTAAATAAAATTTGTATTAAATCGGTTTACAATTTTTGGTATGAAATAGTATTTTCGCCCTTTTTAGGAATAATCCACTTATCCTAGCTCAAATATTTCATTTTTCCAAACATTTGTCGAAAAAATATTTATGATGCTATGGCTATGATTTATACTTCTCTTGAGTGGTCCCAAGAACGAACATTGGTAATTCGTAACTTGTTTGGAAATGCACATGAAATAATAATACCGAAAAAGTAATAAAAACACGATCAAAAGCAGCCATTCTATCAATACCAATCTTCAAAAATTCATCGTAATTTTTATTGCTCTCTGGTATAGAACACAAATACGACTTGTGGTACACCAAGTTAGATAATTTGAAAATCTGCGCATATATCAATAAGAAAATAAATATAGAAGAATGAGACAGTTTAACTTCTAAAATGTAAATACGAAACATTATTTTCAAAAATGTAACAGCATCAGGCAGATATTCAATACATCTTCATTAACTTCTAGTCCTAATTGCGCTCTAGTTGTAACTTTGATACTGGCACTTAATAAGAATAGCTTGATTTAAATGCTGCATCTTTTTCTCAATCGATTTTTCAGGTTTTTCGTGTTTGTAACACGTACAAGTTACAACCCTTCTTTTAAATAAGGCCATAAAAAGAAATCAAGCGGTATAATATCCCGAGATTTTGTAGGCCACCGAATATTCTGATTGCGATTTCCGTTCCACTGCTCAGGATAATGCACATTTAAGTACTTTGCATTCTGTGGCCTACAAGATCTTCAAATCTTACATCCCGTAATTTATTTTTATGGCCTTATTAAAATCTAAGGCGCATTTACAAGTCTCATAAATTCCAAGAGCTGAAAAATCAAATATCTAGTTAATGCCAACGTTTAAATTAGCTTTATTGCTTGAGAATAAATAATAGCAGTATGACTTATGAGGAAAACACTCTTGATTGGCGTAGATTTATCTATAAGTACTGGTTCACAAAAACTGTATCGTTTACTTGGTTAGTGGTTTTAATTCAATCCACTTTTTTAAATTCTGCACCAACATTTTGATCACTACAACGTGGTAAAGAAGCACCATTTGAATTCAGAGTCTGTATTGGCCATATTGGATTTTTTTATCTCTAGAAATACACTGACCGGCAAAAAAACCAGCCACCCTGAAAAATTTCGCAAAACCAAACTTTAGAAATTATTAATTTAACTGGTGGTCGTTATTTTATTGAAAAACCATTCACTATTGACACATGATGTAGAAATTAGCAAAAAAAAAGAAGACAAATAAACGCAGAATTAAATTTAATTTAACAAAATAACAGAAACAGAGCGACAATTTGAGAGACATCCGTAAGAGTTAATGGAATTGTTATTTTTTTTTTCACTGAAACTGTTCGAATTTGATGCATTAGTTGATTAGCACTGTAGGGTGTACACGTTTAAAACATAAATCACCTCTCTGTCGCACAATAAAAAGGTAAATTTAAGGTAGCTGTAGTCACAAGGGTAGTTTTGCGTGTAACTTTAAACTTATCTAATTCATCGCTTTCTTGGTAACGCACTTTCAACACTCGCAACGGTCATTTCAACGACTTTTTTAAATTTAATAGTCTTCGTTTAGTCGAATATTCAAATGAGACCAAGTTTTCTGTGAAAAATAGTCTGTGAAGTTTCATTCATAAAAATTGTCGTAACTGCTTAAGAAGACTAAAATTGCACGTTTTTACAAGCTTTTTAAAGCAATTATCTGAACATAACCAGTTAAAATTGAAAAGGTAGTTTGACCACTATAACCTATAAGTAACTACAAAAATATAACGTGTTGCATTCATAAAATGTAAAAATGCGTTTACTTTAATTAGAAATGACAGAAAGCATACGAACTAGGAGTATAATAAAAGAACAATCAATTAAGACAATTCTAATTAATAGAAACTTCTTGGTTACGCTCTTTGGAATTAAATGGTACTCAAACTGGAATGTTGCTCGCGTAATTCTAAAATTATTTAATCTCAACGTATCCCCAGGCATATCCATACATTATACGAAAGTTCCTAACATGAGTTTTATAGTTATTTATGTATTAAGGGCATAATCAGGGAGATTGTGGCACGAGGGAATGTTTAAAGCCCGACGAAGGAGGGCTTTTAATTTCCCGAGTGCCACAATCGACAATTATGCACGTGGTACATACAACGTTTTATTCTATTTTAGTTTCTAAACTATTTTGAACGAAATATTGAGTATTTTCGGCAAGACTGTGTGAATTGTGCCGATGCGAATTTTAATACATAGCTGGCTATTATTTTGATGTTGTTATGGATACCACGTTGATTATTTGATAATTCGTTTTTCAAAATGTAAATTAAAGAAACGGAAAACCTTTATTCAAACGAAAGTTTAGAAGAATTTGAAGTCGGTCAGGTAATGATTTGATAAAATATTATTTTTCCAACTTAAGAAAAACGTTGAATATCGAGGCGTGTTTGAATAATTAATTGATTAGTGTAAATGAACAATCAATTGTTGCTTAGCAATTTTTGACAGATTTGTGCTAAAAAGGCCAATTTAAGCCCGCATTTGGGTGCTTATAAATAAGATTATGGTTCTAAAATAGAATAAAGATTATTATTATTCTTAGATGCTTTTATGGAACACGAATAGTTTTCTTGGCAACGTGTTTTCAACAATTTTCAATTACTTACTTGGCAGCATTTTGATCAATAAGAAGATACAGCGTGTGTTCCGAATTTCTCAATCGGTCAGCAGTGGTTATCGGTTTTGTAAGTCCTTGCGCAGCAGCTGAAGCTTCTCCCATTGCATTTACAATTTCTGAAACTTTTCCCACGATGTCCCTGAAATAATTATGAGAATCAATAATATGAATGAAAGGTAAAAGATAACTTGTACCAACTATGGGCAAACAAAAACAATACACTGTTTTGATTTTCTGAGAAAAATTATTGAATAGGGCGGTTAAGCGAAAAAAGGCACCTTCTGATTAAAAAAAAAAAAAATAAATTAAAATATTGAAAAAAAAAGTGTGGACAACATTTTCATGAAATTGCACGTTAATAATTTTTTTGCAATATTTAAAACACTGCATTTATATGTCATTCATGATATTAACATTCAGTAACAGGCTAAGCTGGCATTTTACAATTTAAATTATATACCGATTTTCTTGAAAGGAGGCCATTGTTCCAGTTTTTTCTTTTATTAACATAATGTTTGATTATGATTATTTTTGTTTTTAATAAAAGTACAATTTTGACCTTTTTAGCGTATTTTTCTACTGAAAACGATTAAAGCAAACGTAATCCTTACTTAAATGTGGCTCTTTCTAATAACTTCATTAAACGAAAAAATGCTGATTCCATATTTTTTAAATAAAGTCTAGCAGTCAAAATCAGTATTTTTTTTGTTGATCCAAAAAAAGACCAAAACTGGATCCAAATATACATTTAGGGAGAACAGCTAAAAATATAAATCTGACGCATTGCCAGAAAAAGCGGAAGTGACAGACCATTATGTTATGTAAAAGTACAAATTCGGGTATTTTATCAATTTCGTTGTAATTCATAAAGAACGATAAAAAAACGAAAATGAAACTCGTTCGTGCGACGCTTGGTATATCGGATCTATATTTACTCAAAAAGTTAAATTAATTTGAATATCTACAATTAACTTTACAGTTACAAGTTATTTTTTTGCATGTGTAGCCTGATAAAGTACGGTCATGTGAACTGTAATAAAGCTCAGAAAATTATTTCCTTGACCTTCCTAGTTTTATCGTAGCAGAGTCAAATTAAGTTGTAGCATTTTTTATATAAAAGAAACAATTTTAAAAGTTAATTTTCTAAAACACCGATTACTATGCAAAATAAAAGTGTAATTATCACTTTCTGGACGCAAGACTACCTGTTGTCGTCCTTTGGCACAACAAATATACGGATGAGTTCACTTGTAATGTTCATCTACTGTGACATTAACGGGAAAGAATATCCTGTTTTATTTTTACCCATCTTCTGAATATGATGAACCTTTTTGTCTACTAAGGTGCTTTCTAGCGATTTTTTACGATTTTATTATAGTAGCTCTTTTAAAAGTCTTCTTTTTTTATTTGTGAAATAGCTTAAAAAACTTGTTGTGAATGAGTTAATAATTTTCAACTTTTGCTATTAACCCGCACGATTTTAAAAAGCTCTCGCTTACTAAATATTTCTTGACAATGGAAAAAGCACAGTTATGATTTTTTGTAGCGGAATATAATTTCGCGAAAATTAGTTTCTTTGGTAAATCTGACACTAGAAAATTATAGCCACGCAATTTTCTTGCTAAAGAGTTTTATCGACTGACTTGTACCAGTTTTATTTCTTGAACGCTAGCTAAGAATTGCGATAGGGTTATTTTGAAGAATTTAAACTTTCCGGCGAAGATGAATATATAAATTTTAATTAATGATTTGTAATTTCGAAATTAATGTCGTTTTCAAGAAGGGAGTTACGTAGTTCCTGCGATAAACTGTAAAATTAAATTGTAAAAACTCCATTTTTTTGAACAATCTATTCGTGGAAAGTTAAAAATAGGAGTGAATTTATTAAACCACAAGCAAAGGACAGGCAATGGAATATTTGAGATTTTCTTACAAAGCGAGAAATGAATCGGCAATTTTGGGTAACGCTTTTTCATAATTAAAATAACATCGTTTTAAATAACGTGACAGGTAACAAGTAGAATAACAATGGTTTTTCTATTTGGGCATGCATCGAAAAATAGAAGATTGAAGAACTTTTATCGATTTTCTGCTACTGTTGACAGTTTAGTGTTTTCGAAGTGTTACGGAATGTCGAAAATTCCACCTTACTTTAACTTAAGAATGAAGTTAATCACTCTCGAACTTTAAAAAGTGAATCTCTGTATGTTTTATGAATCACGCTGCATTAACATCATGACTACTTTCATCACATGTCGACATCACGCAAGCCGACGATAAACATTCGCCTAACAGAACCTTAAGTGTTACAGCTATCCTGCAATTATAATTAATGAAACAACTCTTTCAGGAACACACAAGCATTTGTCGTGGCATTAAAAAATTTCTGTAATTTTTATCAATCAAATTGGTAGAAACGATTATCCGTGAAGTTGATGTCGGAATAACAGGCAAAATTAGATGATTCATACCATTCAGGTAGTTTTTAAGTTTTTATGACACGCAGACACGATGATATTCCGTGTTCTTCTACATTACAAATTAGGTAAGCGCAGAAGAACGTCTAATTTTATCACGGTAATTAATTTCGTAACGGAATAAACATTTCAAAATTAGCAAACTAGAAAATCATTTCAAACTAATTTAAATAGTGCTAGATACCTTCACTTAACATTCACGAGTTGTAGAAAAGTGTTGATGAATAACAAATTCACCGGAATGAGCTAGTCTGTGATGCGTGGGGAACAAGAAGGTCAAAAACACGTTCTTAGGTATATTCCATTCTAGAGTGATTAGACTTTTTTGGACATTTACGTAACGTAAACCAATAGAACTTAAACTTTGTAATTGTAGCATGTGTTAAGTACGGTTTAGTTTATTTATTAACCAAGCTCGGCTGGCCAACCTACAGCTATGTAACTGTGACTTAAGAAAATCGTGCTTCCGGTCACTGCTAACACCACAGGACACCAGTTAATGAGCACGTGGTGACAGAAACAGTGAAAATTTCGTTTTATGACTGCTACATTCAAACGTTCCGCGTAAGAATAACACGTGATGACATGCCCGCAATTGTCTCACTCTTTCTCGTTGCTTTGTACATTGTCGCTTCTATTTTAATCCTCCAGTTTAAAATACAAAGATTTATTATGGTTGAAATTTGTGGAATGTCAGTTTATCAAGTGAAATGAGCCGTAAATTGTTCTGCTGTGTACCGTTCTGCAACAACAGACATAAATAGAATTGATGTAAGAAATAAACAATGGGATAAATCAAAACAAAATTGGTGTTCACGAAAACCAAAATGCAAATACGAAAAAATTTTATAATCATTTTGAAAACAAATCATAAAAATTTTAAAAAATCTATGAAATGGACAAGATCCAACCCTCCGTTTAGAGGAACGATTAAATTTTTCACTCTTCTCCAGATCATATCCCACACACGTTCCATAGGTGAGAGATCGGAAGATCCAGCTGACCATGACAAAATGGTCAATTTAGCATCCGATAAAATCTTGCAATTAATTAGAAACACATGCACGGAGAACGATACTACTTCTACATAACTAATTAAATCCACTCCTCCATTTAGAGCATAAGAACCTTGTTGGATTAGGATCTTGTTGAACAATGCCAACTGGTACATTGCTCGGTAGTACATCAACAAGACTCTCCAGAAATCGAAAAAAAAATTGTTAAAAAAATCTCTGAACCAAATTTTTGACAATATGAAACTTCAAAATTGAAGAATTAACTTCGTAATTCTGATGTTTTAATGTGTATCGATCATTTTTTGTTTCTTGAGACCGTCGTACGTCAATATTCATCCATCAGCTTGGCGCAAGACCTGCCAACAACTCGTTTTGGTAGCTTTGTAAAAATCTCCTTCCATTCTTACAATAATCTAAGAAAATTAGCTGTATGCGGACATTTTAGTTGTCTTTGAATTAAAGATAATTCTCCATTTATACGAGTGACAAATAAACAACTTACTCTGACTACTTTGAAACTGTAATTACTGAAATTATACAGTCTGGCAAACATTCGTTGTTAAAATAGATAAGCTTATTTGTGATGGTTTTATCCGGGTGACAAGATCATCCGAGGAACCCATCCTAATTAAATTTATCTATGCTAACAATGGAATATTTACCAGACTTCCTAAATTCGGTAGTTATTGCTCTGGAGCTAACCGCAGCAAGGTTTTATTGCGTCGAACACCTTATACATACAAAACTAAGAGAATAATTCAACTGCTGATCAATTTTTCTTTATTTAGGCGTTCAACACTTTTAAAACGTATGTATAAAAATTGTTCTTTGGTAAATTAGCAAGTGTGGTTATCAGATTTTCTCAAGTACTGCGTACACTAATTTCAACAACGTTCTGAAAACTGTCCCATTTTAAATACAGTGAACATGTTTCATATCATGTTTGTACTGTTTGAAAGTGTACACAAGCAAAGCAAACGAAATTAATTTTTTTCAATTTTAGGTTAAGTCTCGAAAACGGAACACTGTATTGGTGAATTTTGGTTTATGCTGTTCCAAGAGTATGACAATGGTTTCTTCTTTTTTTTTTAATAATATTTATTAATAACACATCAAACAGTACGCGCTTATTCACTCACTCTGTATGCTTGCATTAATAAAATTTCATTTGTGATGAACGTTAATTTAGTGCTAGGACGACGAAAGTGAATTTGAAATTGAACCTTCAACCGATCAATTTAGTCTATAAATAAAGCAAACGATTGTTTTTTCAATTAATTAAATAAATAACTGAAATCAAACAACCACTGTAAAAATATAGAAAAAGTTTTATGTTACAGAAGGTACTCAAAAAGCTCGCCATTAACTTCGTTGCAATAATGAAGGCGTTGGATAAATAGTCTTCTGATGACCTCAAATTCTAGGACGCAATAACGTTTTCATTGGTATTATATAATAGACATCAAAATTAATTTAAGCTTCGTCAATATATTGACGAATTGCATAACAGCGTTACGAAAAAATCGGCCCGTTTTTTTCTATTTTATAAATATAAAATACGCCCTGACATATATTGGGTGTTGGTGACGCTTTAGAAAGCGAAGAAAATACTGTCCAAATTCCCTGGACCAATTCCTGTCGTCTGG